TTAAATAAAACCATATGTTCATGGTTTGTTTGTTTTTGTTTTGTTTTCTTGGTACCGGGGATCAAACTCAGGACCTTGTGCTTGTGAGACAGGCTTGGGGCCACTGAGTTAAATCCCCAGCCCTCAGGGTTTGTTTTTTAAGTTAAAAACAGTGTACAGGGCCAGGGATTTAGCTCAGTGGCACTGTGCCTGCCTTGCAAGCACAAGGTCCTGAGTTCAATCCCCAGTACCACACACACACACACACACACACACACACAAAAATGTACACCAAGACACTTAGAACAAGAAGGAATTAAAGTAAATTTTAAAAAGTCATCTATGAGTTGTGGGATTTGTGAATTATTTTATCATTTATGCTAAACTTTCTCCAATAAATATTCTAGTTCTGTAAGAGAAAAGGCATATACAAAATAGACATGATTTACAACTTGCAGAGCACAAAAGTTAGAGATAAATTTTCATACTATTATAGCACACTAAGTTAAGATACATGAGATTGTGCTGAAACTTGGTGAAAAAATAATCATAAAACTATAAATCAACAGATTGAAAAGAATTGTATCAACTGTTACTTTAAATACACACACATGCATATGCAAGTTCACCTCTATTTGTAAGAAAAACCTTCAAGACCTCCCAGATTAGGTAAACAGAGTATGTAAAATGGCATTGACATCAAAGGAAAAAAATAAAGATTTCTACTTGTTGGGCTGGGGATTTAGCTCAGCGGTTCTGCCGCCTGCCTTGCAAGCACAAGGTCCTGAATTCAATCCCCAGTACCAAAAAAAAAAAAAAAAGTAAAGATTTCTACTTGTCAAACACATAGAAATGAAAGAAATCCTGAGGTGCGCCATTTCTGATAAATGAGCCAACAAGCAGGGGTCACATGTAGTGCTCAGTGCTTGTGAGCTTACTGAGAAATGGCCACAAGTGGTGACAGTACAGATAGTCCAAGATTATGGGAAAGTAATCTGGCAATACACATCTAGAGGCCTAGAAATGTTCGTATCATTTTACCTGGTAATCTAATTCCCAAGGATTCATCATAAGAAAATAGTTTGTAAAAGTAATTATACTGGGGCCAGGGATTTAGCTCAGTGGTTCTGCCACCTGCCTCACAGGTGCAAGGTCCCGAGTTCCATCCCCGGTACCAAAAAAAAAAAAGTAATTATACTTTAAGCAAGTAAAATGAGCCAGCCATGCAGAGAGATAAGCAAAGAGCATGCTAGGCAGGGGAGGATGAGTAAGGATAACAAAATTTAGCAATGCTGAAATGTCCAGTGACACCACATTTTATAGAGAGGTAGTAACTTTATAGGAAAGTAGTTGAGAGCTTTTCCTCTGGCACCAGACAGATAATCAAAGATGAATAAGACATGAACCCTACCCCCAGGGCTCACAGTCTCCAGTTAATAGCATTTCCCCTTATTAAGTACATGACTTTGAGCAAGGCAAGCTACTTCACCTCTCTAATTTCAGTTTTCTCACTGTAAAACAGGACTGATAATATCTACCTTGAAGAATTATTATAAAATTAAGAATAATGCTATGTGAAATGCTTAATACAACACCTGCACAATGACTTCAGCAGGCACCAATATATACGTGGAGTTTGCAATCACAGCACCGTATGGGAATGTTGAAAGGAGAGGTAACATGAGTTCCATTAGGGCACAGGATTCCAATTTTTTTTTGGCTTGTTTTTGCTTTTTCTTTCTTAAAAGTTCCTTTAAATTTTAAGTTGCTTATATAAATTTCTAAAATCTATTCAGTTCTACCAGGTATGGTAGCATGAACCTGTAGTCCTAGCTACTCAGGAAGCTGAGGCAGGAGGATCACTTTTAAGGCCAGGAGCTCAAGACCAGCTTGGGCAATGTAGTGAGACCCCCATCTTAAACACAAACAAAAAACCTCTTCAATTCCAATGTATACTAAGCACCTATCGTGTGTCACATTCTATGCTGAGAAAGCATGTGTGAATAGTTTCTGCCCTCAAGGGTCTCACAGTACAGTAGATAATTCACTCATTCATAATTCATTCAACAAATATTTAAGCACTATTATTTGCCTAGCACTGTGCCAGGTATTAGGAATTCAGGGGGAACAAATTGAACAAAGTAGCTTCCTGCATAAAGCCTGCATGCTAGTGGAGAAGACAGACTTTTGAGAAGACAAAACAAGGGGCCAGGGATTTAGCTCAATGGTGCCTCCACCTGCCTCAAAAGCACAAGGTCCCGAGTTCAATCCCCAGTACCAAAAAAAAACCAAGATAATTACAGATGGTAACATGTTATAAAGAATAAACAGAATGGTGGCAGAATTATCCAGTGGTAGGATGTGAGCCACTTTAAAGAGAGTGGTCAGGAAGTTGCCTCCTGAATAGGTGACATCTGAGGTGAGACATGTAGGAAGAAACTAAGGAGTGAATGAAGAGCATTCTGAACAGAGCAAATGCAAAGGTCCTGAGATCAGAAATTTTGAGCTCAGGTGATCCAGAACAGAACGGTGGAGATGGAGCAGATGAGTGAGGAGAGGTGGACAGAAGGATGGACAGGAGCCTCACTGGCTGTGGTGAAAAGTCTGGATTTTATTTGAGAACAATGAGAAGTTATAGAAGGTTTTAAGCAGAGAAGGGACATAATCTTTGGGTGTTTTAAAAGCTGCAGTGTGGAGAATGGATGGTAAGTAGGGACTAGAAGAGCAGTTAGTGATTGCTGCAATAGCTCAGGCAAGGAGGCGACTGTGGCAGAGAAACAGTGTGATGAACTCAAAATGTACATTGGAACAAGACTCAAGAACTGCCCATGCACTCCATATGGGCAGGAGGAAGGGGAGGCAGGAGCAATGCCAACTTTTAGTTTAAACATTTGGCTGGTGACAGTGCTATTTACTTCGAGAAGGAGTTTGGGGTTGGAAATCAAGAATTCATTTCTGAACAAGTTAAATCTGAGATCCCAGGAGAAATGTCAAGTAGGGAGGTGGCTATCCAAGTCAGGAGCACAGGGTGCCATCCAGGGTAGAGAGAAATTTAGGAGTGAGGAGGGAGAAGAAGATATTGAAAGCCTCAGTGTGGAAGAGTTCACCAAGGAAGTACATATAGACAGGGAAGAGAGTCAAGGACTGAGGCCCGAGGCGGTCAACACTGCGAGGGTGCCAGAGAGACAAGGTGGAACAGCAGAGGAGAGGACAAAGCTGGGATGCTGCCATGGAAGCCACGACAGTCAAGTGTGAAGTTGGAGGAAGATGAGTTGCTAGGAACACAGACATGGCCTTCAAGAACATGCTCTGAGCTGGGTGTGGTGGCATGTGTCCATAATCCCAAAACTCTAGAAGGCTGAGGCAGGAGGATCACAAGTTCAAGCCTGGCCTGGGCAGCTCAGTGACTTAGTGAGACCCTGTCTGCAAAACAAAAAATTTTAAGAGCAACTAGAAGAAAGAGGTTCTAGGGTTGACCAGGGCCCAAGGACAGTAAATCCAGACCACTCTGTGGAGAGGTTCAGCCATGAAGAGCAGTAGCCAACTTATAGAGTCTCTGGAAGAAAAGGAGCTGTGTGGCCAATAAATATTCACAGAGATGTCACGCTTGCTAGTAATGAGGACATCTAAATGAGGACACAATGAGAATCCATTTTACATCCATTCCAGTGGGAAAACTTTTTCATGTTCAGAAAAATGTGGATCCACCAAATCTTATACTCAGTTGGCAGGATTGAACATCTGGAACCCAGGCCCTGTCTCACAAGTTACACATCCACAGGCTGAGTCCCCAACACTCCCAGCACAACTGGAGCCACCTCATCTATAACAAGTCTCCACCATCAGACTGCCCAGGGTCAGTAAGTGGTTGGTAGCCTGAAAGAGGAAACGGAGGCCCTGCCCAGAGGAGGAATAGCACAGACCACAGAGTAAGCAACATCCTAGTGCCCTCATGCAAAACCCCAGCTAGAGATTGCTCAAAGCAAAGATGCACCAGCACAGCACAGCAGTTGGAAACCTCAGTCCTGTTCTCAGGGGCTGATGGAGAGGGTGGAGAGTGGGTTAGGAACAGCACGCAGCACGACGAGGGGCCTGGAGCCAGAGAACCACTGACTGCTCTGCTGCCTGGGCCAGCCCAGTATTTTCTCAGTGCAGTAGATGTGAGCTGCTAGAAGAATGCAGGCAATGCTGCTATGTCAGAGTAGAAAGCTCTGGATTCCTCAGCACAGCAGAAAGGCTTCCTCAGACAACCAGCATAAACATATTTAACTGTGGAATGAGGAGCCGCCCAAAATACATGGGCCCCTGGGGGAGGGACAGAGGGGTTCACCCTGCCTGCCTGCAGTGGGATAAGGGAGAAGAAGAGCGGACTTTCAAGGCCTGTGATGGGAAGAGGAGCCGCACAAAGGCCTAGAGATGTAAAGATACAATGGTGTGTCTGAATCTCTTCCCCCTCTTAAAGATGCCCACTAAAGTTGCTGGAGGCCCAGCAATGTTTTGTTAATCTTGTTCCCCTGGTAATATGAAAAATTCATTGCAGGTGAACTGTTTCTTTTTTACTTCTAGCAGTAATCAGAAATATATGTCAAGATAGACTCATAATGCTCAAAACAGGAAATCAAACAACCAACCACTAGAATACTATGTAGTCATCGATTAATTAATAGCTACACCCCATAAATGAAAAGGTTACAAAACAATATGATCCCATTTATGAAAACAAAGTACAATGCATTTTTAAAGGAATGAAAAGAAATGTAATGTTCAAAGAGTCTATCTCTATCTGATAGAATTATGGATGATAACCTTCTTCATCTTATTGCCTATTTTCTACAATGAACATCTTTTACATTTTAAAAATTAGATAAAGGGCTGGAGATGTAGTGGTAGAGCATTTGCCTAGTGTGTACGAGGCCTTGAGTCCAATCCCCAGCACTACAAAAATAAATAAAAATAAAAATTAGATTGAAACCCCACAGATGCTATTGAAACACACACACAGGTCCAGTGAGGTAGCTCACCTTCTGCAGGAGGGGTGTGGGGCAGATGTTGTCAAACAGGACAGAGTTGAAGATGCCATACACGCCATCATCAAGGTGGTACACGATGGTCTTGAGGGCAGAACCATTTTCCTCTGTGGGGAGGCATCAAGGGCAACACAAGCAGAATGTTAGAGGGGTGGGGAGGGGAGTTGACACCATGGCAGGCTCAGCAAGGACTCTGCCTTACAGCAGAACAGCCCTCCCCAGGGCACACTTCCCAGCCTGTATCCGAGCCCCTAGATGCCCCAGCAAAGGCAGAAGAGCAGCCCACGCAAACTCAAGACCCCAGAGGTTAAGCCACTTGCTCAGCAGCACCACAAAGGGCAGTGGATGAGCTGGAATGAGAATCGAGGTCCCCTGGCTGGACCGGAAAGGACAACCCCCAGATCTACAAAGGAGACCAGAAGAACGCTCTCCCTGTGCACATACACAGGACATTTGACCTGAACCCCACACCTCCACATGAATTTTGTCTGAGGAAGAGCACACCGTCCTCAGGCTCTCCTGCCTGAGGGTCCCAGAGCAGAGGGCAAAGCCCAAAATCAGAGTCCTCGACACCCCTCACTCACAGGGTGCCAAGAGCTCACTCTGGGAGACCTGATCTATGTGGAAGAGCAGGGAAGAGCAGTGATGCTGATGGTGTTGGCATCCAAGTTGAGTCAGTCCAGCCCAAACTTGAGTTCTAACCCTGCCCCTTATCAGCCATGTGCCTTGGGCTGGTGACTCAATCCCTCCCTGCCTACATTCTATCATCTGTAAAGAGGACTTAAACAAATTTAAGTTGTCACTAATTATTTTTATTAAGTTATAAGAAGTGGTGAACAAGAGCCTTACTTTGGAGAGGTGTCAGACAAGGGGTCAAATGCAGGCTTTTCCTCTTACTAGTTCTTAAGCAATGCACTTACACTCCCTTTGACTTTGATTCCTCACCTATCAAATGTTATCCAAAAAGTATCTATTCTCCTAATGGCATTTTTATCTCAGTCTGCACACAGCTATGGAAAAAGATGCTTAATAATTGTCAGGAATAAGGACTTAATTGCAAGTTTCCCTAGGGCAAGCACCCTTTTCTCCAGATTCCCCCATCCTGGCCACTGGGCCGAACACCAGGCCCTTTCCAGTGAGCCACTGTCCCAGCTTCAGCGGGGGACGGGGCTCTGCTTCCCACCTGACACCTACCCTCTCTGTTGGGCTGGTCCAGAAGAACCTCCTTCTTGGCGACAATGCTTACAGCCACGGTGAAGGCAGAGGTCACATAGTAGCGCCCCAGCTCAGCAAGGATGTCCACACCACAGCCCTCTGGGAAGTACAGGTCCAAGGCTGAGTTGATCACAGAAGCAATCTAGTGGGAGCAGGTTGGGGGACAATTGCGAGTTTGAAATGTGGGGTTTATGCTGAAGATTTGCTACATCTCCAAGTCTATTCTTAAAAGCCGCTTTGATTTCAGGAAGAAGGACTTGGAAGCTGCTAAGGCCCCAGCTGGTAACTGGGGACAGCTAGCCGAGAAGGCAGGAGGGGAACAGGGCTGGGTTGAGACCCTCAGACTTGTATAAATCACCCTCTTCAATGCCCCCACAATGGGAAGGGTCACTCTTCCTATAATGTTTGGTGCTCGGATTCCAGAAGTCCTGGTGTAGATCTTTCATAAATAACCCATCTGCTAAAGAATATATTATAGAAAATTCAAAAATTACAAAGAAAAAAAGAGAAGATAGAAACCACTCTAATTCTATCACCCAGATGATGCTGAACACTGTGAGTCATTTCAGAGTAGATTCTTTATTTCCTTTTTATGAGCAGTATTTTTTAATTATAAACATCATGGACCTGCATGTGTTCCTATAAGCTGTTTTACTCAACAGACTGGGAATGTCCTTTTACCCTGAGAATGTGCAAATGCTTTTACCCTAAGAATGCCCCAGGAAAGTTCACTACTGTTAATGCACAAAGCTACAGCTCCCATCTTTGAGGCTAATTCTTTGGGTCATTCTGGAATTACCTCTTCAGAGTCAGTTCCTAGATATGGAGATTGCAGAAGCAGCCACCTTCTAAGGAGAGGCGACCCCTAGTGGGGACCTCTATGCATCTTTCTTGCCTTCATCTCACAGATGAGGAGACACAGGAAGCAGGGAGGTTGGTTTTCCTTCCTCTGTCTTCCCATCTGATTTCTCATCAGCCCATCCAAGGGTAAAGAGGGCATACCCAGACCCTTAAAGAGCCTTATGACATGCAATGATGTCTTGATTAAGCCTCAAGTGGGCTGGGACGTGCATGAGCTGGAGTCAGGCAGAGCCAGTGTCAGCCAGCCCTGCTGTGCACTCAGGAAGTGACATAACTTCAATGAGCCTCCATTTGCTTAGCCATAGCACAGGGTTAATAAGTGAGGTGACCCAGGTAACACACCAAGTACAGCATAAGGCACATAGGATCCACTCCCAGTAGACTCTATGACATGCTACCCCTCTGTACTAGTACCCAGCTCCCCACCCAAGGAGCCCACAAGACACCTCGAGCCCCACAGTTACCTCTTCAAATCTCACTTTGGTTCTCTCTACTCCAGGGAAGCCACCACCAAGGTCAAGAATATGCATCGTGTGGCCCAGCTCGGCACCCATTTCAAACACAAGCCGGGCTTCTGCGATGGACTGAGCATAGACCTGAGGGTCAGGACAGCCACTGCCAACATGAAAACTGGGAAAGAAGGAATAATCTCTGCTTCCACACAAAGTCCCAGGTGCCCCAACCTCAGCCCAGCCAGTGGTGACTGTGGGCAGACACATGGGACAATATGCTCATGTTACTGATGCAGTGACTGAGGGCCTGAAATATTAAATGGGTCACAAGGGACCCTGTGGCCAGCTAGGATACAGCAAGAGACACGTGGTGCTCCCCTCGTCCCTCCATATTGTCCCTAGAGGAACCTTCTGCGATGAGAGCCAGGGCCCCAAAGTACCCACATTTGGAGAGGTCCGACCGTGATGTGGCCTGGACAAGTTACTCAGCCTGCCTCATTTAAGTCTCCCATCCAGAGAGTAGGGAATAAGAGCCTCTATCACCCCAGGCCATGGGGTAACGGACATGCAGCACTCAGCTCAGTGCCTGAAGTATAGAATAATGAAGCTGTACAACTGGTCTTTATTATTTTCTTCCACATCCCTACAAGAACAGAGGCAGTTCCAGGGTGTGGCTGCAGAACCTTTGGCCTACAGGCTGATAAAACTTTCTCAAGACTAGGTCCCAGTGGGCAGATCCTCCTGGGACAAGACGTTCTGGACACTATGGGGCTGGGGAAGAGGACATTCCAAACCTTCTTTGCAAAGAGAGGACATTCTTAACTAGCAGAATTCTAGGCCCAGGAGGGGCCTTGCTTGGAGGCCCTGGGGAAACTCTCATACAGAATGATTAATTCCTGTGAAAGAGGCATGGGCTGGGCGTGGGGGGGGATGGTGGGGCTCCTGATGCGCACCTCACACCCACCACCTCCATATGGCTCTTCTTGGCATTTTCAAGCAGATGTCTGCAGGATTTCAGCAGTGCTCCAAATTTCAGGCTCAGGAAGCTCAGGGAGTGGGTGTCATCGGTGGCAATGCACAGAACCATCCTGATGAGACACACAGTACACCACTGCTGGATGAACCCCACCTACCCCATCCCAACTATGTCTCCCCTGAGTCCTGGTCTGTGAACTCACATGGCTTAGAGCCAGACGGGCCCACAAGCTTCTAAACCCTATCTTCTCCCTGCACATCCAGTCAACCTCTGAGTTCTGTCCAACTCATTCTCCTAATGTCCCAGTGCACATTCCTGCATCGTCTGCATGGGGTAGATCTCATCGGCTTTCCTGGGCAGCTCTAGTCCCTCCAAATACCCTCCACACCAGGCAGAGTTTTCAAACTTTGCATGTATGAGGGGAACCACTTTTCAAAGTCTTAAGAAGAACCCCAGTTAACATGATGGAAGTTGCTTTGGGTGAACCAGAGTAGCCCCCCACCTAGCCTACCCTTTACCTAGAACTCTTCCCTGGATCCCCAGGGTTATCAAATAATTTTTTTTTTTTTTTTGGTACCAGGGATCGAACTTGGGACCTTGCGCTTGCGAGGCAGGCAGCAGAACCACTGAGCTAAATCCCCGGCTATCAAATAATTTTAAAAGTTACAGCCAGAGCAAAATGCCCAGACTCGACTCCTTCCAGAATCCACCTGCATTGGGTCCCTACTTATGACCAGTGTCATTCACTGTGCCCTTTACCCGTCACACAGGCATGTTCCAGCCACACCAAATTTCTGCTCACCCCTCAAACACCTCACACTACGTCTGACACCCATGATTTTGCTTATGCACTTTGCTGTTTGTGTCTTCCCCAAATTCTACTCATTCCTCAAGGCCTACTTCTGAAGCTTGCCTCCCAACCCTTCTGGCTCTCACAAGCCTGTGACTTTGACCTGCACTATACCATGGCCTTCTCTTCTTGGGGCTATAGCCATTTAGTTCTGCCTTTGATCTAGCCAGGCCTGGCATCCTGGGTCCAGTCCAGGAGCAATGGCCATGTCCAGGGCAGGGCCCTCTCCCCAGCACCCCCTTCCACTCCCTCTACCCTCAGCCAGTAGCCCAGCCCTCACCCCCTGCATGCCTGGTTCTTGGCTTACTTGGCACTGGCGTGGTTCTTGACCACCTTTGCCAGCTCCACCTCGTTGTCAAAGCTCAGCAGCTGCACCCCATGCTTGGCAGCATACTTGATCTGTGCAATTTGTTTACAGGGGTTGGCATAGATGATCTTACTGGCAGGGACACCAACACGCTGGACTAACTCCATCTCTGCCTGTAGGGCCCCAAAGGAGGTAGTAAGGACACCAGGACCTACTGATCCATGGAGCCCAGGGAAACAAAAATGAAGGGCAATCATAACTACATGACAAGTGGGCCATCCCTTTAAGACAACAAATAAACAAGAAGTTAGGACTTAAGGCTCTTTCACCATTCTCTGACAGGCAGAGCTGCCACATAGAGTCACACAGGAAGTACACCGCACAATCCTGCTGGCTCCTGCTCACAGCAAACACAGGATAGATTTGTATATTTATTGTAACTTCCTGGCATAAAACATCTCATTCTAACAAAATCAGTATATTTATTATAACAATTAAGTGTCTTAGGAAGGGGTACATTTCTAATTTACACAAAAGTCTGTACAGACTCCTGGTGGCCCTAACAACAGGCTTCTGACATATTTTCCTGGCAGATTTAAACTTTCAATAACACTACTTGGAAAATAGTAGGCAGGTTCCTCAAAAAATTAAAAATAGAGCTAGTATGTGGTCCAGAAATCCCATTCTGGGTATATATCCAAAGGAATTGAAATCAGTATGTGAAAGAGTATCTCCACTCCCATGTACACTGCAGCGCTATTCACAATAGCCAGGAAATAGAACAACTCAAACATTCATTGATGGAAAAATGGATACAGAAAATGTAATACATATACAATGCACCACTATTTGTCCATTAAAAAAGGAGGAAATTGGGTGGGGATTTAGCTCAGTGGTTCTGCCGCCTGCCTCGCAAGCGCAAGGTCCCAAGTTCGATCCCCAGTACCAAAAAAAAAAAAAGGAGGAAATCCTGTCACTTGTAACAACATGAATGAAGCTGGAGGATATTATGCTAAATGAAATAAGCCAGGCAGAGAAACACAAATACTGCATGATGTCACTTATATCTGGCATCTAAAAGAGTCAAACTCCAAGAAACAGTAGAATGATGGTTGTCAGGCTGGAGGGGGGCGCGTGTGGAGCGGTTGATCCAAGGATACACCGTCTCGGAAGGAATAAATTCAAGAGATTTATTGTGCCTCATGGTGACTACTGTTAATAACAATGTATTGTATACTTGGAAACTGCTAGGAAAGGAGATTTTAGGTGTTATCACAAAAAGAAAGTATGTGAGTTAATGCATACCTTAGTTCGATGTAGCCATTCCATGATGTACACATGTATGACATCACACTGTATACTATAAATATATATCATTTGTCAATTTAATAAATAAGAATATTGCTTCATGTTTTAGAAAGTCTACAAAGCGAAGAGACTTTCTGACATATATCACCTAGCCCCACAGGTCTGTGCATGCAGGACACTATACGGGGTGGCTGGGGCTCAGCACCCCCTCAGGGCCTCCTCTTCCTCTTTTTTTTTTCCCTGTGGTGGTAGTGGTGGTGGTGGAGGTGGTGATGGTGATTTTTGCTGCTATTCTTTTTTTTTTTCAGTTTTGGGGGATGGAACCCAGGGCCTCACGAATGCCAGGCAAGTGTTCTGCCATTGAGCTATACCCAAGCTCTTCCTCACCTTCACAGAACATGGCTCTGCATGATTGCTGCTTTAATGATGTGGATGATGACGGTGATGAAGATGGTGTTCACTGAGTGAGCACTGCCACCAGCAGGCACTGAATGAGGTGTGGGCAAACTTCTACAAAGGGGCTACTCTTTGAGCCATTCCGTGTCTACTGCAACTGCTCAGCTGACAATAGGCAAATGAGGAGCATGGCTGAGATTCAGTAACACTTCAGGAAATCAGGTGCTTCAAATTTACTGTTTCATTCAGTCCTCACAATAACCCATGAAAATCAGTGTTAGCTTTGTTCTGCAGAGGAGCAGACTGATATTAGAGACTAGGTCGAGAGTGGGTGGCAAATGCAGCTTTCAAACTCTAGTCTGACTCTACCATAAGGAAAAGAAGTCCAAAGAGAGACGATTTTGAAACACAGTGGAAGACCTAAGAGTCATATGAAGTTCTAATTTTGATTTAGCAACTTTTCCTCACTAGGTATTCACATATATTTCATATAATCCCTACAGCCACCCTCTAAGTATTTACTGGCCACATTCCACAGAGGACAAAATTGAGTTCAGAGGACTCCACCTGATGCCACAGTCAATGAAATAGCAGAGTGGGACTTGCTGCCATTAGCGCTTGCTTCCCAGGGGCAGTGGTGCCCCACATACGCTCTCTCTCTCTGAGTTTCAGTGGATGTGCAAATGTATTTTTGCTCCCTGTGGGGACCTGTAATTTAGTTTTGATTATAAATCTTAAATACTAAGTATTGTTATTCACAAAAGGCTCACTCTATGCCAGCTATAGCATTAAAATTTTATATACATTCTCATTTAATCTTCATAATACTCTTACCGTAGGTAGGGAAGAGAGGCTCAGAGAGGTTAAGTGACTTGTCCTGAATCTCACAACACAGCTGTTAATAGCACAGCTGGGAATGTAACCGTCAGACCCCAGCTTGCACTAATAGATATCTCTCGAGCATCTATCTGAGTTGCCAAGATGTGACAGGTGCTGATGAAAACAAGTTGTGAATAACGCTGTGGATCTTTCAGCTGGTGGGGAGACAGGCAATCACAAATGGACACTGGATCATGGTGGAATTACAAATGGTTTAAAGTCATGATGAAAAAGTATAGGATGCTGGAGAATGTGGGATAGGAGGATCTGGGTGTGAGGATAAAGAACAGCCTGCAGGTCAGAAATGTAAGCAGATCCAGGATGAGAGAGAAAGAAAAAATGTTTCCAGGAGAGGGAGCAACTTGTACAGAGGTTCTGAGGCAAGACTGTGCTTAGCTGAATCAAGAAGCAGGGGATCCTGGAGTGGTCAAGATAAGGTCAAGGAGGTGGGCAGAGCCACCTAGGAAACCAAGTCTGCATATGGATTTATATTTTACTCTGCACATGATGGAAAAGAATTACAAGGGTTTCAAGAAGAGAAATGGCAAGGTCAGATTTGTTTGGGGGGGGGGTGGTTTTTTGCGGTACCAGGAATCAAACTCGGGACCTCAGGACCTTGCGTTTCCGAGGCAGGTGCAGTGTCACTGAGCTAAACCCTGGCCCCCAGATTTGTATTTTAAATATAAGGTCTCAACACTTAGCATTCTGACAACCTGAGAAGGGGCCTGAGGGGCTTCTGGGGAGGCTAGTCACAACCAACCCAGGAGTGACCACTGAGCTGGCTCTAGAAAGGTGGGGAGATGTATTCCAGAAGGAGCCTGGCAAGTTGAGTGATGAACTGAGATGGGAGAAAATGAAGTTCCCCAAGAGAAAGCAGAGTTTACAAGACGGGGTCCTAGAACAATACAGAGAAATGCTCCATGAAGAGTGATAGAAGATAGAAAGAGCCCGTTCCTAGGACCTATGAAGAGATGAGGAGGGAGTGAAATCCACATATGCTAACACCCAGGTCAACGATCAGAAATGACTGGTAAGGGTGGGGACAGGTCCAGACCAGCATGTACTCTCCACTTATATACTTTTTCTTTTTTGAGACCGAGTTTTGCTGTGGGGTCCAGCTGGCCACAAATTCACAAACCTCCGGCCTCGGCCTCCTGAGTGTTGGGATTACAGGCATGTACCACAGTGCCTGGCTCATCTTATATACCTTTGAAGTCTTTAGGTAAGTGATTGTTGAGAATTTTTCAAAAGGGCTGAGGATGATGATGTGTAACTGCCTCTTCAGGAGGCTGAGACAGGAGGATCACAAGTTCAAGCCCACCCTGGACAATTCAGACTCAACTCAAAAAAAAATTTTTTTTAAACAAAAATGAAAAAAATGTGAAAGGATTAGGGCTGTAACTCAATGGTAGAGCACTTGTCTAGCATATGTGAGGCCCTGGTTCAGTTCTCAGTATTGCAAAAAAAAAAAATATTTTAAAAAATATGTTGCCAGAAGAAAAAAAAAATGTTGCCAGGTGGAAAGCTAGGAACAACATGGAGTGTCCTTAGACCGGGTCTAGATGTATCAACACAGACATGTCTCCAAAACCTGCTGAGTTTAAAGCTATTGTAGAAGAGTCTATGCCATATGAGTGCCTTATATATCTTCTTACAAAGATCCCAAAATATTTTATATAATTCCTGTAGATCATTGATATATTTTTTACATAATGTTTTTTGCTATGTATCCAACAAACCCATAGTGGTGATTTTCTGTGGAGACAATGCTGATATCCTACTTTCTCTTTGGGTGAGTGAATCAATGTATTACTTGAATAATTCATAGTTAGTGTTTCAAATAAAGTGCTCATTGGATTCTGGAGGTCCCTGGGTACCTTGGTAAGAGGGAATTCTTCAGACTAGTAAGAGTAGAGGCCGGGAAACAGGCTTAAGGAATGGGTCCTGAGGGAAAGAGGCAACGAGCGCAGTTGAATGCAGACAACGCTGCTGAGTTTGGCCACAAGGGGGAGCAAAGGATTGGGTTAAAGGAGAATGTGGTATCTAGGGAAGGCTTTCTAAGATGGGAGGAGGCTGAGGGAGCCAGCCAAGAAAAGGCAAGGGTTGGGGGCCGGAACAATAACACAGGGCCCTCGGGGAGGAGGCTAGGTGGACCAGAGGCCTTGTGCGAGCTATGGCCTGTGCCCCTGGCCCTACAGTCTGTCCAATGGATGTCTGTTTTTACCTCCAGCCCTAGCTTATGCCAGACCCTTGATTAATGAATGTCGAGTAAGGCTTGGTGCCATTAAGCACAGCCTCCCACTAGGACCAACCAGAAAAGAGCAGTTTCTGCCCTTTAAGAAAAGTTGTTAAGTGGGCTGGGGATTTAGCTCAGTGGTTCCTGCACCTGCCTCGCAAGCTCAAGGTCCCGAGTTTGATCCCCAGTACAAAACAAAGTTGTAAGTCTGGAGCTGTAATTAGGGTACTGGGGACCCAGTACTGACAAAAAAAAAAAGAAAAAAAAGTTGTATGCCCAGGAGCCAATCTTCAGTAAATACCCAAAGGGTCTCTGTGATCCCACCACAAGTAGGAGACTTAGGCCTCTCCTCACCCTTGCAGTGAAATGAGGGCATCCATCATTAGCCAAGTGCCAGCTCAGCCACCCCCTCCCCCAGGCAATGAAAAAACCAATAGCAACAGAGTCCCAACACCACATCACTAGGTTCAAGCTGGCACCTCCAGGGCATGACCCCAGGCAAATCATTCAATTTCTGTGCCTCACTTCCTTTTAGGCTGAATTCATCTTCACCAGGCTGTTGTCAGAATCAGACCTCACAGGGATGTTTCAAGAATCAAATGAGATCATGTACAGAAAATGCTTGGCAAAGCGCCTGGCACAGCAGACACACTCAGCAATGTAGAAGCTTCTAATGTCCCCACTGTCTTTGAGGTGTTCCGATGCCCTACCCCACAGCCCTGTCCTTTGCAGTCCAGCTCCTGAGGATTGAGGACCAAGTGCTTCACCCCTGGGCTTCCAGAAGTAGAGGACTCTAGTCAGTGGGGTTTGGTCCTGTTCTCTCCCCTGGCCCAGGAGTCAAAGGATTCTGTTCCTTCTCACTCATATGGAGGCCCAGCATGCTGCAGGAGGCAGCAGGGAGAACAAAAGTCCTGGCTCTGCAGTGCCTCCCCCAGGTGCCTGACAGGTTTTACCTAACATAGGTATGAGTTAAGGCATGCAATGAAAACACAAGGGGAAGACACTTGTCAGCCACGGAGAGCCTTAACATTTGGTCCCTGGCAAAGGTTAACCTGCTCATTCTGTCCTACCCCAGTACACACCTCTCCCTTACCTAGACTCACTCCAGCCCCATCATTCTGATCGGGTTAGCTCTCCTCTTTTCTCCTCCAGGAATCCCTTCTAGAACTCTCCTCCCAATATCCAGCCACACTGCCAATGAAGGCTTAAAAAGGGTTCCTTTCAGAATGACCATTACTAACTACCAAGAAAATGATGGCAATGACAATATACAGAGCAATGCTCGCCAGGCTCACTCCCATCTCAGGACTTTGCACTTGCTATTCCCTCTGCCTGGAATGCTCTTCCTCTGTTTATCTGCCTGACCTGATCCCACACCTCTTTCAGGTCTGTATTCAAATCTCAGCAATGCCTTCTTTGGCCAAACTCTCTAAAACTATGATCCTCTCACCCCACATTCCCTTTCCTATTTTTTTTTCCACAGCACTTACCATCTGAAATACCATATACTTTCATTGTTTAATTTGTCTATGTTTTAGAAATCAAGCTCTATGAAGGAAGGACTTTTTTGTTTTGTTTTATTCATGGGTAAATTCCCACCTAAAATAGTACTTAGCACCATAGTAGCTGCTCAGTAAATATTTACTGAATGAATGAATATGTTCAGAGTTGTACTCTGATGAAACTTCATAACTTTTCTTTTCATCTAGTAAAAGTAGAATGAAAATATATAAACTGAGCATGCTACTCAAGGACAACAGAGCCTGTCTTACCCAGTGCAGTCCTGCCAGGCCTACCCAGCACAGTTATCACCACACTGTAGTTCAGTGACTATTGAGTGGCAGTATACAAGCAAAGCAAAGTCAATCAAAAGACAGCAAAGGGCTGGGGATTTAGCTCAGTGGTTTCACCGCCTGCTGCGCAAGCGCAAGGACCTAAGTTTGATCCCCGGTACCAAAAAAAAAAGACACCAAAAAGGAACAAGACAACAGCAGAAATCAAATTAGAAAGGTAGTAGAAAAGGGCCGGGGATTTAGCTCAGTGGTTCGCCACCTGCAGCACAAGCACAAGGACCTGAGTTGAATCCCCGGTACCAAAAAAAAAAAAAAAAAAAAGGTAGTAGAAAAAATGGAAACAAAGTCTTTGCAAATAGGGAAGGGTGGAGGGGGTGAAAGGAGGCCAGGGGAAGGGGAAAAAAATAAGAACCAAGATACTCGTGTAAAAGTACAAGATCCCAATGATGAATGTAACTGTATTTTATACCTAACGTGTACCAATAAACTTAATGGGAAAATAAAATTAAAAAAAAAAAAAGAAAGGCAGTAGAATTGGCAGCAACAACAAAACCCTAAAAGCATCAGTTAGGAAAATACAGTCACACATTAGCATTATAAAAGAAAAAAAACCAAGAATATAAAAGTGTTTTTCTTTTATTTTAATTAGAAGAAGACTACATATAGCTCTATGCCAAAACATTTTAAAGCCTCCATGAAAAAATGACCCGCCTACCCAGGGACACACAAGGTTCCAATATGGAACATCCAAGCTGACACTCCATACTCATGTCTCCCTCCCTTACCCCTGGAGCTTCCTCCCGAGTGGGTGGCCTTCCCAGAAAGCAGGTCACCCCTGCTCCCCAGAGCCCACCTGCACCAGAAGGGCTGCATCCCGTAGGAATCAAGGGTCAACACACAGGGAGGAGTGGATGCTCACCTTGTTAACACAGCTGAAGCCCAGCCCCAGTTCAGCCAGGACCTTCAGCACACCCAGGCTGCTGTTGCACTTGACAGCATAAAAGGGCCGGACTCGTGGCAGGCACTTCAGAAAGCAGAAGTGCTTCCTCACTATGGCACCCAGGTTGGCCACGAAGAAGGCAGCCACCTCACCCTGCATGACAAGAGGTGGATGGCTGTGAGACCCCGCTCAGCTCCCTCCCTGTGATGCCATCCAGTCTTTCCAAGTCCCTGCCCCAGTTCAGCTCTGGCCACAAAGCTACCCTGCTATAATGTTTTCTGGGGCTCCCACCCCTACAGGATAGAAAGCAAACTCCTCAGCATGGTATTCAAGGCTCTGTGATCTAGCCCCAGTCCCTCTCTTCATGCAGGTAAAACTTTCAACTATAGTCTTTCTTCTCTCTGCTGGCTTTGGCCATCTCAGTCTACCTTCAAGTTTCAGCTCAAATGCCACCTTTCCCAAGCCTGTAAGGCAACTTGGCTTTTAATATTGTTGTTGCACTTTGTTTGTGTTTTCAAAGCATCAGAACTGTACACACATCCATCTATCTGCTCCAGGAAAGGGTCAATTTCTTGAAAGCAGAATTTGTGGCCTAAAGCACACTGATTGTCACATATGGTGTTTAGTGAAGCCTTGAGGTCATCCCACCGCCACCATAAACCATGCTGGTGGACAACTGGTCATCAAAGACTGGCTGATGGCTGAACATGTATGAGGCTGTAGGTGAGATCACCTTATTTAAACCTTCCCTGGGGTTCAATTTCCTTTTTCTGCAATACTTTTTAAATGGTGCCTACTTGATGTCAGTTATAATGTTAGGCAACAGAGGTAACCAATAGGGCTTTAGTCCTGAAGGGTCTTTGGGTCTGGAAGAGATTGAACTCTTAAGTAATTACAACTCCCTTCAATAAATGCTACATGAGAGTTTCTACAAAACGTATTGGGAGCCATGGAGAATGAAAATACAAAATCTGCCTGGAGTAATCAGGAAAAGGCAACACTGACAACAGCCCACGGTAATAGAATAGAGCATTTCAGCTCTGATGGAGCATTAATATAGACTGTGGAACTATAAAGCCCAGAAATGGGGCTATAGAAGCAGGCTTGATTTTGTAGCAATGGGGAACTGTCAAAGAATTCTGATTTTAAGTAAGGCTACTGTACAGTTGGAGGGGGTAGTTTGAAATGAGGAGGTCAGGGGCCCTTAGGGAGATGAGGACTGGGCTACAAAGGACATTCTACATGAGTTCCCTGGAGGGCTATTTAAGCAGGCAGAATTCACAGAGCTAGGTGAAGCCTAGAGGTGGGAGGCGAAGGAGAAGGTAAAAGGGGAGGTGAAAGAGGGGGCAAAGGAGAGACTCCCAGGTTTCAACCTGGAGGGCAGGGTAGATGGTGTTTGTGCTGCTTATTCATCAGGGCAGGGGACACAAGAAGAGCAAATTGGGGGGGGGGGGGGTTGCAGGAATTGGGGATAAAATGGGCCAGTCTCTTGAAAAAAGCAAGAACTGAATACCAAAGAAGTGAAATTAAAAAAAAAAGAAGTGAAAGAATAAGATGAAGGCCCTTCCAGAGGAGGGGTCAGGGGCCCACCCCCACTCCCAAGCCCTCACCGTGGTGGCCTGTGAGGCCTCCAGAGTGAGCTCCTCCAGCAGGTCTCGGGTGCTGAAGCCCTCCTCCACCATCACAAAGTCCGATTCACTCAGGTAGCCAGCCATGCCGAGCCGAGCCGGAGTCCAGTCGATGGGCTGGATGGAGCCACTGCCGCTGTCGCTGTCCCAGCCACCGCCTTAGAAAGTATGCAACACACTTCGGGGGGAGGGGAGGGTACTGCTGAGGAGCAGGCTCCGAGGCTCCCTCCACCTCCCAAGCCAGTCACCCACCACCCTGCCCCCGGCACAAGCGTGGGGAATCTTAGGCTCGCTTGGAAGGCTGTGCCACTGTCAGAAATTCTGGATTCTACACTGGAACAAGGCGTTACATGCTCAGATGTCAAAGCCTCACTTGCCCTATCTGTAAAATGGATAAGTTGTTTTGGAGATCTTTTCCAATTCTGAAATGCTGAGCTTAGGAAGAGGGAAAGAATAAGCGAGGGGGCAGGAAGTTTGAGAAGCCTGGGTGGGGAAATTTCCGGGGTGCCCCATGCAGAGGATGCCAGCGGCCACGCCAAAGATTCTCAGCCCCAGAACAGGAGCTTAGGTTCGAGTTCGCTCTCTGCTGCAGGACCACGGGCAGTTTCCGACCGCTCTCAGTGCCTCAGCTTCCCCATCTGTAAATGGTTGGTCCTGCTGTGCTAGAAATTCTTAGGCGTGCAAGGGGGGGCCACGTGGAAGGCGGGGACCGCGAGCTCCCAGGCGAGAACTGACCAAGGTTCTGTCCCGGTGACCCCTTTCGAGTGCAGGGTCGAGGTCCCGCCCTTCCCCCCAACACCCTTACGAAGCCCCGTCCTCCTTCGCGGTGGCCAGAGCCAGGCGCGCTGCTAGGGGGGGTCGCTGGTGACCTCGAAACTTGTGCGACACTCTGCGGAGGAGTGGCAGTTGCGGAGCCGGGGCCCCTGCTGAAGGAGGCAAGAGGGGACAGGAACAGGTCAGCATCGAAGCCGACGGTGCCCGCTCCCGAGGCTCCCCAAGCCGACCCCGCTGCACTCGCCTTAAAACGCATTTACACGGCTTCGGCCCATAGGTCTCCCCAGCGAGTGAATCGGATCCTCAGCGCCTCCGCTCGCTCGCTCCCCGTATCCGGGCCGGCGGCCTGCGCCCCTCGCGCCCGGCAGCCACCGACCCCACGCCCCGCCTTCCGCCGGCTGCCTGCTTATATAAGCCACGCCCAAGCCCCACCCCTGGCGCCCAGGCCCCGCCTCCGCTCGCTCCGTAGCCCTGGCAACCGAGTGCCGCCGGCCCATTGGTAGATTCCGACAGAAAGCATTCAGCTTTGCCCGCCGGCTCCTCAAGCCCGTGCCGCATTGCTCCCGGCAGGGTCCTCTAGGTGGCTACCCAAGCTGGGAATTCGGAACCGCAGAGCTCTAGTGTCTACGCGGGTAGGACCCTTAGATCCTGCATCTTGGCTCTAGGAAACTTTTTCTATCCCTTACTGAACTCAACGATGCCTTCTGTCTCCTCTGCGTCGTGAAGTGCTAGCTCATCTTCGGGAAACCCAGATCAAACGTCATCACTTTGTATTGTTTTCTAATAAAATCCTTTTTATTTCATTGCCTCTTCTAGGCATCTTCTCTGACTCCATCAACTCAAAACCCAGCTCGAATGGGTTCAGAATGCCTTTCTTTTTGTGGCTTTCCAGTCTAAGAAAGATTCCTCTCTCCTTTGCCCTCTGAATCCAACAAACTCATAGTCCTCAAGTAAAATGTGTCTCCTCGAGGAGCTATCTCTGACTTCAAAGTATTTCTCCTGTTCTATACTGACAGACTCCTGCTCTGGCTCATCCACCAAAGTCCACTACAATGTCACCACCTCTGTTGAGCCTGCCATGGCTTACCTAGCCCCAAGACACGGTGGAATTAAGAGCATTTATGTCTGACTGGACCTCTTGCTCATTTGACACTTGCTGCCCATAGGTGAGATTCCCGTTGTTGTTTTCCACTTCCTGTCTGTTGACATTTCTCAGCTACTTCAGGGTGCTCAGTGCCTAGCATACACAAGAATGGTCTGGAAAATTCAATAGCTGTGTTACTCAAAAGCTAATTCATCTGGGGACCTGAGATTTATCTCAGTGGGTCTCCCGCCTGCTTTGCAAGTGCAAGGTCCTGAGTTTGATCCCCAGTACCAAAAAAAAAAAAAAGCTAATTCATCTGAAGCCGGGTGTGACGGTGCTCTGGATTCAGTACTCAGCACCACAAAAAATAATAATAGTAATTACAAGTTAATTTAGAACAGTTGTTCCAGAACAGTCAAGCCATTGTTGGTAAGAATAAAGAGAAGAACTTCCTCTACTAGATATCCAAATTTTTTTTATTAGCTACAGTCTTTAAAACAGCATTGCACTGGAAACAGGAAGACAGTGGTAGGATAGAACATAGTCTAGAACAGTCTTGGACACATGGGAGGAACTGGTACAAAATGAAGGCAGAAACCAGAAACCTGGAAAGATGAGGCTAAGAGGAGGGAAGGGGCACCCAAACAACATTGGCTCTCATTTAAATCACTTTGACCTGGCTTCAATGGATACCATGGTATGGGTAGATCTCACCTGCTTTTCTCATCATCTGGTATGTAACAGGCAAAGAATAGGTATATTTATTATGCTTATTGAATGAACAGGCAAGAAGGAATGAACTAGAATCCAGTCTATTTGTGATCTGTCAAGGATAATACGTAAGCAGAGCAGTAAAATCTATGCCCTGGTTTGGGTATTGAGAGGCTGCAGCTTTATATTTTTCCCTACTAAGTATGTTATCCCCCAGAATCACTATGACAATCCTGTGTCCTAGAAACTATAGTTGTTTCCATTTTATAGATGTGAAATCTGAAGTCCTGAGAAGTTCAGTAATTTGTCTAGGATTACACAGCAAGTAAGGCAAGTAAGGGTGGAGCCCAGATTCAAACCTAAATCTGGGCTGGAGGTGTAGCTCAATAGTAGCATTCAAACCCCCCAGCACTGCAAAAATTCAACCAAACAAAAATGTTCTATAGGTTCATAGAACTGGAGAGTTTGCAAAATACTTTTCTACCCATCATTTTATTCAGGCTTCCCCAAATTGTACTCATATTAATTTCCTAGGGCTGCCAGAACAAAGTGCTAATTAGTAGTGGTTTAAAACAATGGGAATTTATTGTCTCACAGTTCTGGAGGCTGGATGTCTGCAATGAGAGTATTGGGAGGCCTATGGTCTCTTTGATAGTTCTAGGGGATTATCCTTCCTTGATTCTTCTCATTTCTTTGTTTTTTTGTGGGTTTTTTTAGTACCAGCGATCGAACTCGGGTCCTTGCACTTGCAAGGCAAGTGAAGGAACCACTGAGCTAAATCCCCGGCCCTCTTCTCATTTCCATCCTTGATATTCCTTGACTTTGAGTACATTGCTCCAGACATTTCCCTGTCTTCCCCATGTGTCTTCATATCATCTTCCCTCTATTTATGTCTGTCTCTGAGTCCAAATTGTCCTTTTAAATAAAGACACTAGTTGTATTGTTTATGGCCCACCCTAATGCCCTCACTTTAGCTTGATTACCTCAAACAAAGTCCCTATTTCCATATAAGGTCAAATCTGTGGGGGTTAGGATTTTAACATATCTTTTGGGAGAAGAAACACAGCACCATCCAAACTGCCAACAGACACTTCCTTTCATATCTTTGCCCAAGACATAAGCAGTGATATCTAGCTGCAAGGGAGGCAGGAAAAGATAGTCTTAGTTGGGTGCATTTCTGTTCCTCCCTTGCCCTAGTAAGCTCAAAATACCTAGAGAGGGGCCGGGGATTTAGCTCAGTGGTTCCGGCACCTGCCATGCAAGCACAAGGTCCCGAGTTCAATACTCGGTCCCCCCAAAAAAATACTTAGAGAGAAAGGGAGGTTTAATATTGTGTGGTAACTGACCATCTCTGCTACAGGTAGGGAAGATTATTTCTCCCTTTTAAATATTAGTATACATAGTTCAGAATGATTATGTGATTTGCTGCATAGGCAGAAAGAGAAGTAACAAACATCAAGCATCATGCTGAATGTTTAAAAACATAATTGCACTTGATCTTTAGAAAAACCTGTGAAATAGGCATTGATTGCTCCATTTTACAGATGACAGAGTTCAGATTATTAAAGTAGTACAGCCTAGGACTATCTTGAAGAAGAACCTGAGGCCCCAACCCTGGGAACCCCAAATTCTAGTCATCAGTGAGGTGTCTGTGCCCCCGACACAGAAGCAGACAAGTAGAAGACCACTCTGTGCCAACTCTGAGAAGGCAAAGTTCAAGTACATTGATTAAATGGGTGACTGTATTCACAACCCTCCCCTAAACAGCTGCGATGCTCAGATGTTAAAACCCATAGTTTGGATTTCTTTGTGTTTATTTTCACTCTCTTTTAGGCTGCACACAAATGTGAAAACATAATAATAGTGTGTGACAATTAAGGAATTCACACACTTTCCCTTAAGCCAGACCTGAGTCATTTCTAACAAATGTGATGAGAAAACAACAACCACACACAGGAAGAAAAGAAAAAAACCACTCAGCTGAAAATATTGCTTTCTGCAGCTAAGTGTCTTCAGAGCCACCTGGGAGTGGGACGGAAAGGCTGCAGCTTTCCCCTGTATTCTCCAGTGGTTCTCAGGCAGCAGAACTACCTGGAGGCTTGTTAAAACACAGAGTTTCTGATTCGGTAGATCTGGGAGACTCTAATAATGTGCATTTCTGACAATTCCCAAGTTTTGCTATGCACCTTTGAAAGAAGGCATCAGACTCTCACCTGGCAGGGACCCAGGATGAGGCAAAAACCAACTCAGACTGGACGGCGTTGCTGTCTGTAGACAGTAGGAACACAAACTTCAGGGGTATACATGCTTCAATCCTCACTGGCTGCGTGACCTTGGCAAAGGTACTTATCTTCCCAGAACTCACTTTATTCATCCATGAAATGGGGATAAGAGTGCCTACCCCTTAAATTGTTCATGAGCATGTAAAACCTGCTGCCTAATGCCTGGCACATGGATTAGCAATGTATTCCAAATAATAGCTGCTAGTATTACTACCCTGGGCCAAGATGCAGAACAATATCAGAGGGATACAGCTAGGCCAGAACAAGGAGAAGCAATTTCTTTGGGAGGTTTTGGGACCTGGGCTGAGGAACCCAGCAGGGGACAGAGGCTCAGGAAGTGGCTCAGTGTGATGCAAGAGGGTATTCCTGTGCATTCCCTGTAGGATTTCATGGGGCAGAGACTGATGGGCTGAGCACCAAGCCATACAAGCTTGACCCAGGCAGGGCCTCTTTCTAAGTTGCTATAGTAGTCACGTTCTCTTTTTTTAAAAAAACCTCTTCACTTCAATTGGGCATGGTGATACGAACCTGTAATTCCAGCTATGTGGGAGGCTGAGCCAAGAAGATTGCAAGTTCAAGTCCATCTGGGGCAACTTAGTAAGACTCTGTCTCAAAAATATAAAGAGAGCTGACCTGGGGATGTAGCTCAGTGGTACAGTGCCTCTGGACTTGATTCTCAATACCACCACCACCAAAACAAACAAACAAGCAAACAAACAAACAAAAACCTTTCATTCACCCCAAGAAAGAGAGGACTCAGACAGGAGAATTCTCTGCCCCACTGCTAACTGACCCACACTCATCCATACACTTCTGGCTAACTGACCAGCTAGAAATCCAGAGCCAGTGGTCAGATAATAGGATAGAGATAGGTCCAGAGAATCCACTCCAGAGGGAGGCAGAGCGTGTTGCCTCTGTCTCTGGGCTTCCAGCTGTACAGCCATCCTTGAGAGACTCTGGGTCCTTTCAAGAAGTCTCCTTTGCAGAGAGGCAGCTTGGTCAAGTCCTCAGTCACATGGACACAAAGAATCAGACTTCTTGCCTTTGAATCCTGGGTCCCCATTCCCTTGCACTTCATTTTCTTCATCTGTTGAATGGGAATAATAAGGTTGCTGTTATTAACTGCATGAGGTTGACATAGTGAGTGAAAAGGTGACCATGTGACAGTCTGAATGGTGATGCCCCCCAAAATCTTCATGTTAGAATCTAACACCTGCTGTGCTAATTCAAAGGGTAATTGAAAGATACAGTGAATGCTTAAATAATAAACTTATTACAGACAAAAAGACACATTGCCCAAAACAATGAG